TGCTCACTACTTATATCAAAAATTGAAAATTAATTAATTATGCAAATTAGGTAATTTATGTACTGATATTACCATAAAAACTATCAGGTCTGTGCAGTGTCATATGACATCTATGTACCAAGTTTCATTGAAATGTGATGATTAGTACTTGAGATATCAGTGGAAAAACCGAAAATTGACTAATCATTATGCAAATTAAGTAATTAGTATCCACGGAGTATTATCAAAAACTAATCAAAACCTAGCATATGTTCAGAACATCTATGTATCAAGTTTTATCAAAATCCAATGAGTGGTTCTTTAGATATCAGTGGAACAGTCATAGAACAGCTAAAAATTAGCTAATTATCATGCAAATTAGGTAATTGACGAGCATGGATTTTTACCAAAACCTAATCAAATCTGCGCATTGGCCCAGAGCATCTATGCACCAAGTTTCATCAAAAACCGATGTATGGTTCTTGAGATAGCAGTGGAACAGTCAGACACACATACACACACACCCACACACACCCACCCCCACATACAGACACACTAACTGCAAAGACTCCCATTTTGTGCTTCGCACATGGGAGTCAAAAATATATGAGAAATTATATAAAACTAGCAATATTTTTTTATAGATATTTAACCTTTTGAACATTTTTGGTCCATTTTGAACATTTTTAGACGTTTTTCTAGAATTTCTTTGTTAATTAGGTAGAATTGTACATTGCATGCAGCTTTTAATCATTTTTAAAAAAAAAGAAATGAAAAAATATTAATTGGGTTTAAATTTGTGAATGATGACAACAGTAGACTTTAGTGCTTGAGAATAAAAGTTAAAAGTTAAAGTGACTGACTGACATACTAGGACTTACTTTTAGTGAGATTCCAGTCAATAGCAGTAAGTGCAACCTTTTCTAATGGATCACCAACCAATGTATCATCCAGCTTTGCCAATGCATGACATGTGGCTATCACTTGTATCGTCTCTATAGGTGCATGTAATGCAGGCACTAGTCCTTCATTGTCTCTGAATTAACAATGACAGTAGGAGTATATAAATATATACCATACAAATACAGTTTATACTATATCGAGTGTAATTACACTATGTTATACTACACTATGAGTGCAAATATACCATGCTAAGTAAAATTATACTATAGCATGAGAGGAAATATAATATAATCATAAAAATGCCATACTGTGCAACTACTGGTACATCATAATATGAAAGTAAATATACCATACTATGAAAGCAAATATACTACACTATGAGTGCAAATATACCATGCTGAGTACAATTATACTATAGCATGAGAAGAAATACAATGTAATCATAAATATACCATACTGTGCAACTACTAGTACATCATAACATGAAAGCAAATATACCATACTATGAAAGCAAATATACTACACTATGAGTGCAAATATACCATACTATGAAAGCAAATATACTACACTATGAGTGCAATTATACCATGCTGAGTACAATTATACTATAGCATGAGAAGAAATACAATGTAATCATAAAAATGCCATACTGTGCAACTACTGGTACATTATAATATGAAAACAAATATACCATACTATGAAAGCAAATATACTACACTATGAGTGCAAATATACCATGCTGGGTACAATTATACTATAGCATGAGAGGAAATACAATGTAATCATAAAAATGCCATACTGTGCAACTACTGGTACATTATAATATGAAAGCAAATATACCATACTATGAAAGCAAATATACTACACTATGAGTGCAAATATACCATGCTGAGTACAATTATACTATAGCACGAGAAGAAATACAATGTAATCATAAAAACTACTGGTACATTATAATATGAAAGCAAATACATCATACTATGAATGTACATAACTATACGACAAGATAGTGCCAATAAACACTGCTAAGTGCAATTACATACACATTGACAGCAGACGTGGAAAATAATATACATGTAAGTGTAAAATACTTTATTTTAGCTGGAATAAATTTTCGCTGAAAAGGATTTTTTGGGTGTTTTGTATGAAATTTTATTTTCACTGACTTTTGGCGAGTTGAATGTAAAATATAGGAAACAAAGTATATTTGCTGGATTTTATTTTCACAGAATCATTCCTTCAGCAAAAATAAATTACAAGCAAAAATAAAGTATTTTTACAGTACTTTTAATTTCATTTTTACAACAAATAACTAAATTGGTATTTTAATGTCACAAGATTTAGTTGTTAGAGAGAGACAGAAGATACTTGATCATGATACCAACCTCCTCCCCAAAGTGGCATGTTCCCGTTTGTACTCGTCGTCACATGCATTCATTAACCAAGTGTCACCCCCCCCCCCCAAATGGCATGACCCTGCAAAGATGAGGCATGGGAACTCACCACCACATGCATAGGGAAGTGCCCCAGCCCAACCACCACCGCCACCACCACCACATGTTTGCCTAAAACATTTGATATATTCAACACAAGTTTCCATTCAGATATAAACATAAAACATTTCACTGTGACTACAACATGCACATGGGGAGAAATAAGTATGGTGTACTTACTTCTTGCCAGTACTGACGCCGTTCAACACCAAACATGCATTATATCAGAGAAAACAAAGTTTAAGAAGAAAAACAAATATCTGAGTTAAAAATATGAACCAAATAAAACTTTGATGAAAGACATATGAAAAAAATTAAAATATACAGTCTATTAGTGAAATAAAAAAAGGTATTTATAATCATAAAAAATGTATTTTCTTTGTGTTTTTTTGTGCTTTTGTTAATTATTTCACTATACATACAATTATTAATTACACAGTATATATATTTGTAATGAAAAGATAATCAAATATGGGAAGTAAAAATATGGGACAGTGATTAGATGACGTACAAATATTGTTAAACTTTTATCACTAGAAATTTACGATTTTATAATTTCCACAAAGATTTTCTTCACTATGATTCACTGTCTACAGAACTTATATGGAGATAAGAAATTCAATATGGAACCCTATGTGTAAGAAGAAAGTGAACAATGTCACCCTAAAAATTGAAGTTGGTAAAATTAAATCATTGCTTTGTTCTCTGATATTTAGAGTTACATTATTCAACAGATATTTTTATAAACATAGTAATTTGACTCACTCAAGCCCGGCTATTCCCTTACATATTAAGTTATCTGTCGTTAATGTACCAGTTTTATCAAAACAACAGATTTCCACTTTACCAGCAAATGGTATACGGAATGGTTCTGTGCAATATACACCTGAAATGAACACAAAATTGCATTTTAAAAAACGAGAAAAAATTAGTTTGCATAACACTTCAGATGTACCGGTAATTGACATTTTAACAAAATGAACAAATCTGAGACAGGTCCACTTGTAGTACCTATGTATGTAATATCAAAACAATTGGACTTGCGTTTTTTAACAAGAAGTTGAAAATATCACTTTTTACCAAAAATGACAAAAATATTCACCAAAATTAGAGAATTAAAGATATCATTACAAAATGAACAAATCTGAGACAGGTCCACTTGTAGTACCTATGTATGTGATATCAAAGCAATTGGACTTGCGGTTTTTAACAAGGAGTTGAAAATATCACTTTTTACCAAAAATGACAAAAATATTCACCAAAATTAGAGAATTAAAGATATCATTACAAAATGAACAAATCTAGGAGAGGTCTACCCAAGGTACATATACACCAAGTATCAAAGCATTCAGGCTTGTAGTTTTCAAGAAGAAGTCAAAAAAGTAAAAAATTGACACGGACGACGGAGGACAATCACTCATATGATAAACTCCGCTCGACAAAGTCGACAGCGAAGCTAAAAAGTACAAAATTTTGGTGTGAAAAGTTAAAGAATTCAAGAGATTGTATTTGTACATTTAGTCAGAGTTCTTCCGTCTTACCTAATTTGGTCAATGCTAACAACGATGAGTTGACAGCCAATGACAACTCTATCGGTAATTCAGGCGGCACTACTGACGTCAATATAAGGGTACATTCTAAAAATAACTTGTATTTATTTCTGTCCGGGTCTTCACTGCCTATGATGAGAAACAATAGATTTTACAATTATTGTCAGGAATGCAACAATAAATGTTACGACAACCATTGTAAGGCCAGACTTTTATTATCCCTTGTTTCGTGAACCCGCCGATTGAACAGGAACCGAAAATGAAAAAAAAAAAAAATTGCAAGACTTGTAAGTGCAAAAAGTTGCTAAAAAAATTATTTTATTTATTATTTTTTTTCACCCGCTGAATAACAAACTCAAGTTGCATTTTTGTAGGAGTATCATGATCAAAGTACCGAAGTCTTGAACAGATGAGAAACAAGGAATAAAATTTTATTTCATTTCTTCTCTTCGATCAATGATCTCACTTACAATTCTTTGAGAATCACACAAATCTAATGGAAAAAAAGAATTAATTTTATTTTTTCTCCACCCTCCTCAAAAAAATTGCCATAAAAACTCAAGAAACAAGGAATAAATCAAGTCTGGCCTAAAAATGTAACAATAAATGTAAAATTAGACAATAAATATTGGTTTACAGGATGACAATTTACAAGATAATGAGACAACTACATGACATTTACCTTTAACCCATACATAACTAGCAGCAGCAACAGCAAAAATCAACAGGAACAATATAAATAGGAATGTCTCCAAGTTGTTAGCAGTGACTCTTTTAACGCCATACATTATAGTACGTAGAAGACTCCCCTAAGTAAACAATAAAAACCATTGACAAATTGCACATCCTAGAAGTGACACAGTTTATGGGTCATTATCCAAGTAATGAAGAGGTTAAGCACAAATTCTGAATGATTTAATATTTCCTGTGCCTCAACTTTACTGATCACTGGTCCCTTGCATATTCTTATTAAGTTCATAGTCATAGTGGATCACTTCAAACTCACATAAAACCAGAAGTGTTATTTATAATGATGTATTCATGTGACGCCAATTTACATGTAACACCCCATGTGAGACCCATATGCACCCCCTGTGATATCCCATATGCACTCTGTGACACCCATATGTATTTCATGTGAAACCCATATGCACCCCATATGTACCCCATGTGACACGTACCTGAGAAGTGTTAAACCCTGTCCTCAATACATATAACACCCCATGTGAGACCCATATGCACCCCCTGTGATATCTCATATGCACTCTGTGACACCCATATGTATTCCATGTGAAACCCATATGCACCCCATATGTACCCCATGTGACACGTACCTGAGAAGTGTTAAACCCTGTCCTCAATACATATGCAATACATCCATTATCAGGAGCTGGAGAAAAATAAAATTTATTTAATCAGCAGGTAAAGAGACAAATTACTGATCTTGGGAGTGCTGACATATGAGAAAGAAGACAATAATCCCCTAGAAATCTGTTACATTTTGCGTTGAGTTTCTGTGATACAGAATATAATATACAAAGCAGCAATTTAAAATATGAAAATTGATAATACAAAATTTGACAATTTTCTTAACTTAAGAATTTGGAAAAAAATTTCTTTTTATAAAACATATTATTTAGAGTATATCGATGCAATTTCACATAAGTGGTTTGGTTTAGACAGGTGCCACTGGATTCTAATCTAATTCTGGGTTGGTATCATCAGTTAAATCAATGCTGTTCTGTGCTTACACTTAAGTCCTGGTGTTGTTTTATTGGGTGGAGTATGTTGTACAACTTTAGTACCAGCAAATATGACATGTAATCTACCATCACTTTCAATATTCAATACTCTATCATGAACAACATTTTCAACTGGCTCCTGCAAAAAAAAATGCAAATACAGTCAACTTTTGTCACTTTTAATGAAAAATACAGTCATGTATATTGTTAGATGCATGCTAAAGGATAAACTGTGTTTGTATTGGTAGTACACCAAACTATGATAAGATACTGTATATTGTTAGATGCATGCTAAAGGATAAACTGTGTGTGTATTGGTAGTACACCAAACTATGATAAGATACTGTATATTGTTAGATGCATGCTAAAAGATAAACTGTGTTTGTATTGGTAGTACACCAAACTATGATAAGATACTGTATATTGTTAGATGCATGCTAAAGAATAAACTGTGTGTGTATTGGTAGTACACCAAACTATAATAAGATACTGTATATTGTTAGATGCATGCTAAAGGATAAACTGTGTGTGTATTGGTAGTACACCAAACTATGATAAGATACTGTATATTGTTAGATGCATGCTAAAGGATAAACTGTGTGTGTATTGGTAGTACACCAAACTATGATAAGATACTGTATATTGTTAGATGCATGCTAAAGGATAAACTGTGTGTGTATTGGTAGTACACCAAACTATGATAAGATACTGTATATTGTTAGATGCATGCTAAAGGATAAACTGTGTGTGTATTGGTAGTACACCAAACTATGATAAGATACTGTATATTGTTAGATGCATGCTAAAGGATAAACTGTGTGTGTATTGGTAGTACACCAAACTATGATAAGATACTGTATATTGTTAGATGCATGCTAAAGGATAAACTGTGTGTGTATTGGTAGTACACCAAACTATGATAAGATACTGTATATTGTTAGATGCATGCTAAAGAATAAACTGTGTGTGTATTGGTAGTACACCAAACTATAATAAGATACTGTAAACAGTTTAACTTTTCACTGCTAGGAACTTTTGCAATTTCATGATTTAATTGCATTCGTGAAGACAACTTTTTGTGAAAGTTACCAACACATCATGTAGTATGACAGCAGAGAACTGGTCACTGCTATGAAATTTTGAGATTTTCACCATCTTGAAATGCACGGCAACTATCGTTGCCATCTTGAAATGCACGGCAACTACTG